AAAACACTGATGTTTTTCAATTGACCTTAAGCCAAAATAAAATTAATAAGAATCTGTTAAAATCTTAAAAATTTATTGGGCGTTAGAATGGGGTCTATACGAAGACGTGGACCTGCATAGACAACTTTTGTCATATGCCATTACAATATTCAAATACGAAACTTGAAAAAATCCGCCAAAATCATAAAAATACCGAATATAGGGAGATACCGATATATGGAGGATATACGAGAACGTGGGCCTGCATAGACAATTTTCTGTCATGAATAGTTCCCATTACGAACTCTAAATAAGAAATTTGAAACAACTCTGGTGAATACTGTCCTTAAAATCATCAAAATACCCATTATCCGGGGGTATCGTGGTATGGGGCCTATACGATGTCGTGGACCTATATAGATTCTCTTTCAGGGGATAAAATGCGGATTTTCAGACAATGTGTGTGGATTTTCAGACAATTTCATTGAAAAATGTAGCGAAAAACATCAAAATACCGAATATAGAGAGGTACCGTATATGGGGGCTGTATAATATCGTGGACCGTCTTCGAACTTGACCTTGACGATATTAAAAGGGTAATTTTTAAAAGCAGAACAGTTTTTTTCTTCGGTTGTGCGGTCCATATAATTAAATGTTTAAATCATGTAAATATTGTCCGCAACTACGCCTCAAATGGTCCATCCGCTTAGTCCAATTTTAAGAAGTTCTTTCTGAAACTTCACCCGGTATATCACTAAGAAAATTCTTTAGTGTCTTCCAAGACATGTTTCTTTGTATATACATGAGTCCAAAAATAAAATAGTCCTAAGGTGGTAAATCACACGATCCAGGCGACCAATTGTCCGGTCCCGAACGAGAAATAAAATGTTCACCGAACTCATCTCACAATAAGTCCACTGCAACGCGTGCTGTCTGGCAAGTGGTTGTTATAAGTCAAATCCAGCTCTTGCATTTTGGGCCATTCACAGTTAGGTTACGATTCGCAGCCCATAAACTGAACCAAACTGAGAATATGGTCACTTTTATTAAGATGTCGATTGATGTAAGGAATCAAAAGACTCTTCAGATATGTGGAAGAATCTTAGCTTCGATTTGGGATGGATTTCAATTCGTTTATAATAGTGTCTCACATACACAAATGTTATGAGAGAGATCATTACAGAATTTCAAAACTGGGAATTCTTCAAATTTCGCACGCTCTATTTTTTATCTAAAGAGAACAGTCCGACTGTTGAAAGCATTCCACATACTGCCGCAAAATACGCAGCAACATCTTTTCGATTTCAATGTGAAAGGAGCAAAACAACAAATTACTACAAGCAATAAAAAAACAACAACATCAACTTCTACAAAAGATCACGAACAAAGTGCAAAAAGTTCAATTGCGAACAATAGCGCAATGAAAAAGACAACCATTCAGGCGGATGATAAGCCCATTAATAACATGAAAATGATGTGATGTGACAAAGCCGTAGTGCGCGCCACGTCAATTTCGCCAACAGAATGGCCGAGGCAAAGAAAAACGTGGAGAAACATAAGTGAATGGTATTTCGGCTAATGAATGAATGAATGATCGAATTAATTGATAGTGCGCTTATTTTTTGTTCTAAATTTATTATTTTCAATTTCCCTTTTATTTTCGGCATGGTCAGGGGTCAGTTATGATTTGATTGAGTCAACATCATTGCAAACATTTAAGCGAAAAGAAAAAAATGATTCAGTCATCATGAGAATTTTGTTGTGATGTGATAAAACAGATGGGTTCCAAAGAAAGAGCTGGGTGCCGGAGTTATACTGTAATATTAATCATAAATAAAAAAACGAGAGAGGGTAAACCAGTTCAAAAAACGATGCATAATTTATGGGGGTTTGCTGAGTTTTTCTGAGAAGTGACGATGGAGTTTTTTACAAAATGATGGCATTGAGGATAATTAAAAAAATATAAATAAATATATAAATGAATAAAAACAAATCACCAAAGTATTTAGAAAACTAATGTTATCTTCAGTACTCCAACTGAGGAATTACTTGTCGAAAACCACCATGACCTCCCACAGTTTTAACTGAACTTTTGAAAACATCAAGGTACATTGAATTGTTACGAGGCTTTGTGAGGCTTGCAGCATCAAACTTAATTATCCATGAAAACTGATCTGATTCCTAAAACGGTTAAAAAGTTGACACTAAACAAACGAGAACCTTTACGTCTCAAGCCCAATCCAATTCGATAAAAATGTAGGATAGCAACCATAGGTAAATCTGATCCTTTGAATGAAAAATTCAAAATTCCTCATTTTTCCCCACATTGCAATAGAGAAGCGATTTTTATTTATTTATATTTTTTTTATTTTGACACTGAGTTCATCTTTCCCATAGAAACAACATTTTATTGAATTTTTCTATTTTTTCTATAGAGAAAATAATATTTTTTTCTATAGAAAAAACTGCTTTAAGGAAAAAGAGCCTATTTCCTCGTTTTTCTATAGTGCTAAAACAATTTTATAGGAAAAAAATTATATTTTTTCTTTAAACGGAACATGCTAATCTTTCATTTTTCTTATTTTTCCTACGAAGAAATAATGCCTGAGTTTTCCTATAGAGGAAATAATTCTGTATTTTTCCCCCTTAGGGTTGAAAATTCCTCATTATTTCCATAGGGGAATAAATTCTCAGCTAAAAATGCATTATTATTTCTGTAGAGGGATAATTTTTTTACATAGGAGGAAACATTCCTCACTTTTATTTTTCAATAGGGGGGAAATTCCTCATCCCTTCCTCAGAGGGAAAAATCTATTTTTTTCCATGGATGGAAAGATTCCTGATAATTTCTATAGAGAAACTCCTAACTTTGAGAAAATGCCTCTGTGGGGAAATAGAGGACCGATTTTTTCTGTTGAAAAAAAAATATAATTTATTCTCTTGAGACCACTGAGAATCGATTTTTTATAAGCAAAAATATCTCCACTAAGGATCGATTTTTTTGTTTCTATAGAAAAAATGTCCCAGTGGAGACAACAGGGCACCACGATTGTTCCTTTCAAAAGTCCACGATTGGTCCAATCGAGAAAATTGGTCCTTAAAAAATATTCTCTAAAAAATCCTTAAAAATCTACGATTGGTCCTTTGAAAATATTCTCTAAAAAATCCTTAAAAATCTTCGATTGGTCCTTTGAAAATATTCTTAAAGAATCCACGATTGGACTTTAAAAAATTCACGATTGGTCCTTAAAAAATTCACTATTAGTTCTTTAAAAATATTCTTAAAAATTCGACGATTGGTAATTTGAAAACATTTTAACAAAATCGACGAATGGTCCGTAAAAAGTTCTGGATTGGTCCTTTAAAAACATTCCTTAAAAAGTTCACGATTGGTCCTTAAAAAATCCACGATTGGTTCGTTAAATATTCCAAGATTGGTCCTTAAAAAATTCACGATTAGTTCTTTAAAAATGTTCTTAAATATTCCACAATTGGTCCTTTGAAAATATTTTTACAAAATCGACGACTGGTCCTTAAAAAATTCCTGGATTGGCCTTTTAAAAACATTCTTTAAAAATTTCACGATTGGTCCTTAAAAAATTCACGATTGGTCCTTTAAATTTTTTCTTAAAAATCCTTTACACCTTCCTGAATTGATCCTTTAAAAATATTCTAATAAATCCTCGATTAGTCCTTTCAAAAATCCACGATTGATTCTTAAAAAACATGTTTGCTAAATTCACGTTTGATCCTTCGAAAAGTCTTCGACGCGTTCTTTGAAAAGTCCTCGATTTTACAACCTACGATTGATTATAAAAGAATTCAAATTAAAAAAAAAATTGATCCTTTACAAAATTCACCTTTAGTCCTCTACAAAAAAAAAGATCGAAACCCCTCAGTTAGACCAATGAAGATCGATTTTTTTTATGAAACAAGTTAAAAAGCAGTAAGTTCGGCCAGGCCGAACTTTGAATACCCTCCACCATTTGGAACGAATTTGGAAATTTTCCAAAAATAAAATCCGTTAACAATTCTGTTAAAATTTTAAAAAAACATTTTGGGGTCTATACGACGTGGGCCTACGTAGGCATTGTTTGCCATAAGTCATTACCATATTCAAATTCTAAATTTGAAAAAAAAATTAATAATGCACCTAAAATCATCAAAATACCGTATATAGTGAGGTACCGTTACATCGGAGCTATACTAAGACCGGGATCTGTATAGACAATTTTCTGTCACAGGCTGTAGCATCCATTACGAACTTCAAATACGACTTCTCAAACATTATCGATGAGTATTGCACCTAAAATCGACAAAATACCGAATATAGGGAGGTACTGATATATGGGCCTATACGAAGACCTGGACCTGCATAGACAATTTTCTGTCACAGACTGTAGATCCCATTTCGAACTCTAAATACGTAATTTGAAACTACTCCGGTGAATAAAGACGCTAAAATCATCAAAATACCGAATATTGGGAGGTACCGTTATATGGGGGCTATACAAAGACGTGGATCTGCACAGACAATTTTCTGTCATAGGCTGTAGTATCCATTACGAACCTCAAATACCAAATTTGAAACAATTCCGGTGAATAATGTCGCTAAAATCGTCAAAATACCGAATATTGGGAGTTGCCTTTATATGGAGGCTATACGAAAACGTGGACCTACATGGCCCATTGGCCCATTTACGACTTAGAATTTTACGCTGATCAAGAATATATTTACTTTGTTGGGTCTGACATGAGTATTTCGAAGAGTTACAAACGGAATGACAAAGTTAATATACCCTCCATAGTATGGTTGAGGGTATAAAAATGCTTCAGTGAAAGCAAATATCGACCGATTGAGGGTCGATATTTTGCTACAAAAAAATAATTATTGTTTAGAAAAATGGATTAATTTGTTTCAATACGAATTCATTCTTGGCTTTTTTTCTCAAATTATTACACCTCTCCCGCCCTGTACATCTTCTACAATTAATCTACAATTAATTCACTATCAAACTTACCACAAGCCAGCAACACAAAATCCAATAAAATTCGACAGAATATCTTCTTCGTTCCATGCAGTTCCATTTTATGTTTTTGGGCAATGCTGCTTCCAGTCGCTGTTACGTTTCGACCACCTCCAACCGAATCGATGAATATGTTTAAACTTTTCTCGTTCTTATTGCTATGATTAATATTGTTGTTGTTATTATTGTTATTATGGTGATTCGATAGCGATGACAATGTTGTACTGGCTGTGCTAGCCGTTGTTGTTGACGATGGTGAGGCTGAGATGCCACTGCCAGAACTGTGTCCCATAGCGCTGACGCAACCCGTGCTGCTGGCCCCCAGATAATTGGCCGTGCCACTGTCACAGTTGGCATTACCGTTCGCCGCAAGTAGGGCTGTTGTGGTGGTTGCGGAGCTAGCTGGGTCTGTTGGCGCATGGTGGCTGGTTACTGCAGCCATTGCTGCTGCACCGCAGAGACCTACAGATATGGAGGCTGATGCCAGTGTGGCTCCATTCAGTGTCGGCGAAGATGGTTCACTGCAGCTACTTTGGCTCTCAAGACGCTGCAGAGGTGTTGTGTCACAGACGCTGGTCGGTCGTAAGCTGTTCATGGTGACGTTTTGAGAGTTCTGTGTAAAAGCGATTAAGAGCTGCTCCAAAGGGGGGAGGGGTGGGGGTTACTTATCACTTCAATATCGTATTCAATTTAATAAAATTTTCTTTTGGGGAATTTATTATGGATCTCTTCTTTTCAAAACTCCTCCATGCTAATCAATTACTTTTCAATCAATCCAAAACCATAACATTTGGAGCGTAGGACGATGATGATGATCTCTGCTGGTGATGCTGATCTAATGCTCTTAACGGTAATTGAATGGATGATGTGGTGATGCTGATGATGCCAATACCAAATTCGATTCTGTGAAAAACTCAATACCCAATCTTTCCTATTCAAAATCAATAGCCTTCTGCTATTGTTGTTGTTACTGTTGCTGTTGCAGCTACCTCTTCCTTTGTTATGTTTATCTCTACTGATGACATGTGAAATTCACTTCCCAAGACATTGAATTCGAGCTGGCTGGATGGCTGGCTGTTGGGCGTTGGAGTGTTCATTACCTTTAGGGTTGTTGACTCCTTTGTTTTTGTTTAGATCATCAATACCTGGGGATTAGAGAAGAGAAAAACAACCATAATTAAGTTAAGATTAACTAACAACAATAGTTTTGTTGTTTTTGGGTGCCAGTATTGTTTGTGTGTTGTTTTGTCTTGTATGTCTAACTTTAGGGTGTCAAATTTTCAGATCAGCAGGTAGTAGAAGTTCGTTGTATTGAAAATTGCTTTCTGCGAAACATTAATTGTTTCGAAGATGACACTTGAAAATCATCATTGCACTTGCTGAGATTATGGTAATGGGATTTTGGGAAAATTCATTTAAGACAGGATATTTGTGTTTAAACGATCCTGGTTTGAATATCTCTAAACACTAAATAAAATTTAATTAGAGTTTATTAGAAAATCATTAGGGGAATATTCTCCAAAAAAATCATGATTATAGTAAAGTACAAGGCAAAAATATCTTCTAAAAATGATTCACTCCATAAAGTACCCCAGTGGTCCTTTCAAAAACGTTCTTAACAATTTTTGTTTTTTAAATTAAACAAAATATTTGTTTTTCCTTTAAGACAATTAAAAAGAAAATCTTAAAAAACACACTATAGTGGCCTAAAAAATATTCTTCAGCGGACGCCACTCAGTGTCTATTTCTTTCTGTAAAAATACCTCAAGTGATGCCACAAAGGATCAATTTTTTTCCTTAGAAAATTACTAAAGGAAAAAGTCTTAGTCGGCACTACCAAATACGGAATATCGGTGGGTATCGTTATATGTGCACTATAGGAAAACGTGGAACTAAATATTCAATGTTCTGCCACCGGGCTAGAACCCATTATGAACTACAAATACCAATTTTTATCAACATATCGACAGGTTCCGTTATATGGGGGCTATTCCAAAACGTGGACCTATACATACAATGTTTCGTCACACGAGCTAAAACCAATTACGAAGTACAAATACCAATTTCTAGACTAATCCGTTAACAAATGTGGCAAATATCCTCAAAATGCCAAATAAGGGGTGGTACCGTTATATGGAGGCTATACCAAAATGTGGGCCAATATATACAATGTCTCGCCACACGTTCTAGAACCTATTATGACCTACAAATACCAATTTCTGGACTAATCCGTTAACAAATGCGACAAATATTATCAAAATACCAAATAAGGTGTGGTACCGTTATATGGGGGCTATACCAAAACGTGGACCTATACATACAATGTTTCGACACACGAGCTAGAACCAATTGTGACCCACAAATACCAATTTTTAGGCAAATACGTGGAAAAGTGTGGCAAAAATCATCAAAATACTTATCAAAATAATAAAAAGTAAATAGACCGATACATCTCATTTTCAATAACAACCATCCTACACACAATAAAAATTGTCCTGCTAAAATTTTGCTCCACGTCAAATAATGTGGACTGTATCGTGATTTCAACATATAGACAGACGGACGGACACGATTAGATCGACTTAAATTTTTATGCTAATTATGAATATATATACTTTATGGGGTCTACGAGGAATATTTAAGGATGTTACAAACGGAATGACACTGTTAATATACCCTCCTTTCAAAGGTGTAGGGTATAAAATTCCGCTGTTGGAGCTTTAAAACAACCGTTTGATACTTTAAAAACATTCTTTACACAATCCGTCCCTTAAGAATATCCTTATATAATCCACGGTTGCTCCTTTAAAACTGTTCTTCAAAAAATCCACTATAGCTCCTTTAAAAATTCACGAACGAAAAAAAACAAGGTTGATGCTTTAAAAGATCTTTAAAGCATACGCAAAAAGTTCTTTAAAAGATCTTTAAACATCTACGATAGGTCCTTTAAAAGATATTCAAAACATCCACGATAGGTCCTTTAAAGGATCTTTAAAAAATCCTCGATTGGTCCTTTAAAAAATCATTGAAAAATCCACGATAGACCCTTTAAAAATTCACCATTGGTCCATAAAAACCCAGGATTGGTCCTTTAATTTTTTTTTTAAAGTCCACGATTGGTCCTCTAAAGATCCACGATTGGATTTAGATCTGTAATACATCTACGAAGGTCCTTTAGAAGATCTTCAAAATATCCACGATAGGTCCTTTAAAGGATCTTTAAAAAATCCTCGATTGGTCCTTTAAAGGATCTTTAAAAAATCCTCGATTGGTCCTTTAAAAAACTTTCAAAAATCCACGATAGGCCCTTTTAAAATTCACGATTGGTCCATTAAAAACCCACGATTGGTCCTTTAAAAAAAATTTTAAAAAAGTCCACGATTAGTCCTCTAAAGATCCACGATTGGCTTTAGATCTGTAATACATCTACGAAGGTCCTTAAGAAGATCTTCAAAATATCCACGATAGGTCCTTTAAAGGATCTTTAAAAAATCCTGGATTGGTCCTTTATAAAATCATTGAAAAATCCACGATAGGCCCTTTAAAATTCACGATTGGTCCATTAAAAAAGTCCACGATTGGTCATCTAAAGATCCACGATTAGTCGTTTAATTTTTTTTTTTTAATCCACTATTGGTCCTCTAAAGATCAACGATTGGTCGTTTAATTTAAAAAAAAGACGATTGGTACTCTAAAGATCCTTTAAAATTTTTTTAAAAAAAATCCACGATTGGTCCAAAAAAGATCCACGATTGGTCCTTTAAAACAAATCTGTAAAAAATCCACGATTGGTAATCAAAAGATACACGATTCTTCCGTTAAAAAAATCTTTAAAAAAACCACGATAGGTTCGCAAAAGATCCTCGATTCGTCCTTTAAAAAATCCACGATTGGTAATATAAAGATCCACGATTCGTCCTTTAAAAAAATTTGTAAAAAATCCACGATTGGTAATCTGAAGATCCACAATTGATCCTTTAAAAAAATTTGTAAAAAATCCACGATTGGTAATCTGAAGATCCACAATTGATCCTTTAAAAAAATTCTTTAAAAAATCCACGATTGGTACTAAAAAGAAACCCACGATCAAAAGGTTTTATGAAAAAACAAATTAATTCCATAATTAAAGCTCATTTTGATTTGGATTTTCTTAAATCCATGCCCTTTAAAATATCCCTTAACAAAGATCCACGGTCGAAGCTTTATATGACATTGAAAATTATTCTTTACGAAAAATCCAGGACTTGTACACGATAAAAGCTCTCTATATTGGACTTTAAAAAAATATTCATTAAATAATCCTCCATTAAAGCTATATGAGTCTTTGAAAGCCAATCTTTAAAGACCCAGTATAAAAAAGTTCATCATAGGAAAAAAAAAATTGGCTATAGGAGAAATATAGAAGCGAGAAGGAAAAAGAGAATATTTATAGAGAGAAGTGTAGTTAGGTGGGTGGTCCGCCTAGTCGAAGAATGCCTTTGGCAAATTTGAAAAATGACGATGGGATCTGTGTCTGAGAACGTTTAGGGTAGACATCTGTTACTGATGTGACCAGTCAGTATGGCTACGACGTTTCTTAGATCAAACCTACTAAATGATAGAAACCGACTTGTTCTTCTTCTTGACATTACTGGCAAGATGGCCTTTGATACCTGATAAAATCTCGTTTATTGAGTTAATTGTCCTGCAAAGAAATCTACTTTGCTCGACCATTAAAAATATATCACTGAGTCCTTAATAAATATTCTTTAAAAATCAGGATTTTCCACAATATTATTTTTCGAAAATAATCTAAAGTACATCTCTCAGAGCCTTTCGAAAAAAACATTTTTCGAAAATTCTCTCCAAACAAAGAAAAGTAGAAAACTAATTTCCCTCAAACGGTAATCGGAAAATAAACAAATCATCCATTAGCACTTCATGAATTGTGGTCTGCCTACCTTTAAAGTAGAACCACTCCAGAAGAGTAAGAACTAAAACCGCAATAAATTTCTATTCAAATTTCTATTTTGAAACAAGAAATCACCTACACACTTAATATTGAAAATATACAAATATGTTTTAGAGAAGTTTGTGTGTGTGTGAATTTAGATATGATTTGAAAAACAAAAAATGAAAATATTTCAAATATGGGAAAAAAGAAAAAACAACAATGGAAGAGAGGCAGGCCACTACTAAATAATTTCTATTTCCATGGCAATTGTTTATTTGTACGAAAATGAAAGAAATATATTTCAATATTTGTTGAAGGTGGAACGTACATACGTTTATTTTGGATTTTTTTTTTCATATCGTCTAAAGGAAATTTCAAATCGACAAACAAATGGACCTCAATACTGTTTGCATAGACCGACCTGGAGTGTGTTTAAACGAAATGATCGGGAAAATTTTTGTGTAAATATTTAGAAAATTTCTTTCTCTCAGTCATTCATTCATTTGTTCAATTGCGTATTCCTCCATTCATTGGTCTCTTTGTTTGTGGCTTTTATTTTGTTTAGGTTTTTATTACCTTTTCGGAGGGCACTACCCGCCCTCTCAGCTAATCCAATATTATGGCCAGTGAATAGAAAAGATCGTAAATTGTTAGTTTTGTGAGATATCTTAAGATAAAGATTTGACGTCTAAGTAGCTGTACTTCTATTCTCTGTTGTTACTCACCTTAACCACCCACCCACTACTTGAAAAGTTCAAAAATCTTATAAATTTTGAAATTGATTTTTTTGTGTTTTTATGATATTTTGTTGTTATTGTTGTAATGCTAGTTGAAGTTCAGGGGCATTTGATTGATTGAGGAATGCCAGATGTTTTCCAGTCAAAAAGAAAGATATAAAAAATGTCAATATGTTGAAATTTATTAAGGAATTGGAAAAGACTCCAATAAAGTGATAAAATACTCTAAGAGAACATTTCAATTGAAAGATGACCAGTTAAGGTGAAGACCCTAAGAATGTCGAAAGAAGGCGCTTTCAAATAGTATTTTCAGATATACAGGGTGAGATGAAAAAACTGCAACCAAACTTCAGACTGCTGTCTTTTCTAAGCCACTCATTCGATAGCTGTTAAAATTATTTCAGTGACAGCTCATTATATTTCTTACAAGCGTATAAAAGCACTTCGGTAAGAATTTTTTAGAAAAAAGGTTATT